TTATCATACATTTATTTCTTACAAAAAGTATTTTACTAATAATTAATTTTTTTCTTTGAATTCATTATTAATTATATGTACACTTATGATAATAAATGTATTACTTATGATAATTATAAATGTATTACATGTACACTTACACAAAAAGTTACAAAATTTACAACCTGTGATATTTGTAAGGATCAAGTGGAATTAAACTATTAAATACATTTTTCTAAAGAATTTAACTAATATAATAACTTATAGTTTGCAATTGTAAAGTTGTACTCAGGCATCTGCACACTAATTTTAATTTGTCAAACTTACAGTATTTTATTTCAAAATTTCATTGTAATTATAATGGATATAACCGTTAGACTAACAATAGTGCTGATTAATACACAATTCTATTTTAGATTATTATGAAATCTAATAAACTAATATCTTTTTACATTTCATTATTATTATTATTTGTTATTTTAATAACGTTTTCAACATATACGTGTTCCGTAACACCAAATTTTCGATCAATAATTCGTAATTCTCAATTAGATCAGTTTTTACTTTGTCATAGCCCTTTTTTTACTTATTTATCTATGGTCATAGCAACTATCAACTATCATTTAATATATAAATATACATTATAAAAAAATTACATACATATATAAATATATAATTATTTATTTAATCTTTAATATATTAATATTCAATAATCAATAATATGATTACAATTTTGACGGGTTCATTTTGACAAAAAATTTAACATTGCACATTAAATTTTGACTTGTTAGATTAGACTTTATTATTAATAATTTTATGACGCATACTATATATACTTTTTTTATACTTTATATACTTTAAAAATAACGAAAGTGTACTTAATTCACAAGAAAATAATGCTACTTTAGATACTTTTCATGAATAAGCTAATCTAAAATTTAATTTGAAGAAATTGGTTGAATTTAAGTTTTAATTGAAAAATTATAGAGAAGGTTTTGACACATATCAAAATTATTCTAAAAGTTTTACCTTTTACATTAAGAGCTTTCAATATTATAGAAACAAATTAAATCTTAGTTTCATAACAGTATTATTTTTACTATATATGCGAATGGCATATGAAATAATTATTGTCGTATCACCGAGTTAGGGCCGGTGTAGTTCCATTATAATTATTTTCTAGTTCCTCCCTGTTTTAGGCAGTATGTGAACAATGTAGTACAATATTTGAAGGATTTAATATGATGTTATTAATTTCTTCATGCGTGCTATTTAAGAACGTGTCTATGTGTCACGAACGCGAGCAAACGTTAAATATGAATCTGCTAACTTTTTGTTATATATTAAATTTTATGATGAGACAAAATGAAAATACATTTGCCTGTATAATAAAGGAATGATTAAATTAATGTAACTTATTACTTATTACCTAATAATATATTAAAATACAATAAACACTAATTTGCATATCAAGCTACAAAATGTGATTTAATTAATTTTAATTTACTAATTGTTTTGTTTATTCAATTTTAGTCTTGAAAGTATTTTTGAAGCATTATTAAATTAAAATAAAAGTCAAATATATGAGATAAAACGCAATATATAATGACTAAATATAATAATGACTTTATTTTTTTTATTCTATTACAGACTCTACATAAAATTATCGAAGTTTTAATAAATTATATTAAAAACTAAACATATCAAGAGATAAAATGCAATATAATGTGAATTTAAAACTAGTGGAGTGTATGGCATCGTGCCTTAAGGCAAATTGCTGGAACTTCCCGTACCGTAACGAAATGTTCGAGGAATACTGAATGTTTTCAAATTATATTTATTATATTATTGTAACATTGTCTAATATTTATAAGAAATATATAAACCTTATTGCAAAGTTGAAATTATTTATTTAAAGTGTATTAGAACTATAGTCAGAATTAAAAATAAAATCTGAATTATTTTTAATATACAAAAAAAATTTTTTTTGAAAAAAAAAGTTGAAACAATTTTTTTTTCCAAAATCAATTATTTTGTCAAGACAAGTAGAAACTTCTTTGAATCATTTAAATCGGACGCTTAGTTCTCTCAAAAACTGCCATATTTTACATATTTAGCTCCGTATCTTTGAAATGGCTGGGCCTGCCTTTGTCAAAAACTAATAAGCACTTCTCCTAATCATTACTAATTGAATGTTTTCTAGATCATTCAAATCGGATACTCTGTTCTCTCAAAAACTCGATTTCTATTTTCTGCACTCTTTGCTCCGTATCTCCGAAATGGCTGGACCTGCCTTTGCCAAAAACTAATCAGCTCTTCTCCCTATCAATAGGAATTGAATGTTTTTTGAACCATTCAAATCGGTTGATCCGTGCGCCCGAAAACGTGACTGGAAATTTGTATCCTTACACACACACACATCTATTTTTTCTGAGGTATGCCAAAATGTTCAGAAACCTTCAAAACGCCGAGAAAAGTAAAAATTTTCAATTTAGATTTTCGGCTCATTACAATAACTTACCCTACGGGAAGTTAATAATAATTATTTTATTTACTCTAGTATATATCCAGCAATTAGCTCCAGCAGAACTTAAAATGCAATTATTAAAATAACATAATTATAGCATACAATTATAGTATTATTAAGCAATCAATTATAACATTA